TAAGTAGAATCCTATAATTAATCCCGATTTGATTTTGTTACAGTGGTGAGAATAAAAATTGACGAGGTCATTTTTGTTGGTAGCTTTTCTGCAAACCTCAAACTGAAGTTCGTTATTATTTCGTGCAGCATGATATCTAGGAAGGGTTAAAGTGTTGTTAGACTCAGATTTAGAGGTAAAATCTATGGTGCGTTCGACGTTATTTTGTTCATTGACAAGATCGATTAACGTTATGTGTTGTGAATATATTAGTAGAGTATCATCTGCATATCTGAAATACGAAGAATATTGTGGTAAAATATTTTTAAAGAGACCACTTTCCAGAAATTCCAAAATTGTGTAAGATTGTGGCGACCTGTATTCGCTCCTCTTTGTCTGTTATTCCAGCAATAAGCGAATCAAAATCATATCGTTGTTGTTGCCAAACTTTATAATCTTCGTACAGGTTTCCTTCGAAATTGAGGTTCTTTACGGTTTCAAAATTTGAATTCTTGTTTAATCTTCTTAAGTTATTTCAGTACATTCACGTGCTTATTCATTTTTAATGGCGGCACAAATTAAAAACAAGGGAATGCTTCATTCTTTTGTTTTCAGGTCGAACAGTTTAACCCATTTGTTTTCCTTTCTTATAGTTGGTTATGTTACCTGACACAATGTTATCTATCATATTAATGCTGTACCAAGCACAAAATCTACTGTGTGCTTATTTGTAGCAATCCGTGGTGTGACTAACTCTGACTGCTAGTAGCCGCAAATAGTTGATTGAAATATGTTTGGCTTCTATAAATATCTACAAGGGAAATAATACATCACAAGGACAAAATCAAAATAGATGAGATAATTTTAGAATTCGTTTTCGTATTTTTGTCCTTTTTTCATACTAACTTAGGCTTGATAAACATATACGACAAATCAGATTTAACAATAAAAGCAATAGAAAAAAAATAAAAGTCGTATTGACGCTATTAAAGAATGTTTTTAAAAGATCTTCCATGAAATTTGTCTACAAAAAATGTAAACCATTAACTTTTACTTTCTATTTCGTAATAAAAAATATTTCAGAAATGATCTGATGATATATTTCTTAATTGCGTCACTGTGTGTGTGTCTGTGTGTGAAAGCACACAAACTATACACTTAAAAAGCATATACTTTGTCAATTTATTAAACACATCTGTTTATCTTCAAATTTCAAGCTCACGTAAAATTTCCTTAAATATTGTAGAAATTAAACGAACATAAATCATATAGTATTTAGAAAGGCTCGCCCGATTCCAAAATTTAACTTAGGACCACGAAAAAGCAAAAAAAAAAGTACGTTTTTCCCCATGACACCGCTATCACCGCTATTACTCTCTCGGTAATTTTCACTGCTTGAAAAATTTATTGCTAGAATTGAACAAAACCCCAACATATGAATCTGAATTCACACATTACTTTTAAGGAGAATTGTTAAGCATTATTTATTTATTCCATTATTTATTTACAAGATTGTTAATTTTGAATTTGTAACTTAGCTTAATTAAATTTTTGTTATAATTTTGGTTTTGGATGATTTTTGTAGAAAATATCACCCATGGTAAGTTTTTTTTAGATATTTTTTAGAAGTTTAACAGAATGAAAACGTGCAAAATTAATTTATTAATAAACTTTTGCTGGCTGTATAGTTAACCATATCTAACTCAAAATACTTCTTAATTTTCCAATTCGCTATTTACTTTCATATGTTTATAATTACCCGTATGTTTGCTCGTTATTACCATCCTCCATTAATCTTCTGGATGTGGCCAAACCAACAATTTATTTTAACTCAGAAAACCATTCGCCAATATATTTAGTTATTAAAATTGACTTTTTCTGGTTTGGAGGATATTTTAAGCTCCCAGTAAAGTTTGAAAAATTCAAATGATTAAGAAAAATCTATCATAATAGTCTCCGTAATATAAGGGAGATAACTGTTCAATTTCTGTATATTGTAACTTCGTTAATATACACATTTAAAGAATCTCATAGCAAAATGGCAATGCTTTCCTTTAAAAACAAACTAGCGATGATATCCAGCAGTACGTAGGTAAAATCACATTGTTTTCCTAATGTACTAAACGGGGGAGGGGAGATTTGTGTTTGTCGTTAAATGGCGTCAGTGAAGTCGTTGTAATTAAGATGTGGGTTTGAGTGTTGTTAGGTTAGAAACACGTGATCTTTACTCCTGCTAGAAGAAGGTCCAACTACAAAAATATGCAGGACTCAAGTTGAGTCCAACTGAAGATGTAAAGAAAACAAACAAGACCGATATAGATATGCCAACAAATATATGTATTAAACAAGAAATTTACAAGTGACAAAAACATCAACATTTGTGTTTGTGTGAACGTAAAAAGTTTGTATTTTGGTGAATGTTCGTACGTATGTGTATGTGTGTTTAATGGCGTTTTCCCACAAGTGAGCGAAAACGCGGATCTCTGCGAGAGATCACATTTTTAAATGTGTCTGCTGAAATGCAAAGTAGAAAAGAGAACGAGGCAAGAAGTCGCCCAGTATTTATAGTGTAGGGAGAGCGTCCCCTAGTAAATAATAAGGGAATTAAGGAGGAACTAACTCCGACAAGTTCGGTAGGTTTAAACATGTTCGTTTCTTTCGGACGCATCATTTTTTAATCAATTCATTGCAAGCAAGTCAATAAAGTCACTAAAACGCAAGTGTTAGTGTATATGAGAAAACACTATTAAGGAGAGTGAACAAGATAAAAATAGGAATTAAGAAGACAAAAGATAAGGATTGGCTTTGCAATTAAATTTTTGAAGATCAAAGTTGAATAGGAAGCAAGAAGCTGGGAGAGAGTTCCACAAACGAGAAGTGTGAGAAATTAAACTATTAGCATAGAACTTATGGTGATATCTAACCATTTCAGGTTTCGGCGATTGCCAAGTGTTTATTGAAAATGGGATGAGAATGGTTCACTCATAAAGTTTTTTTTTTTTGTGTGTGTGTGTGTGTGTGTGTGTAAGATAGGTGTATATTTTCGTACCTTTAAAATAAGGCTGTAAAAACGTTTAATGCCATTGTGGTCTGCACAGGTGTAAAAAAATATGGAAATGAAATATTAAAAAAAAAAAAATGAAAATAAAACAAAAGCATTTGCTTTCCTCTAAAAACCCATATCTCTTTCTTCCTCTCTCTGTACCATTCTACTTCTCTCTCAACTAATGAGAAGGTAACTCTCATATAAATAAAGCCAAAAGAAAAGACTGAGCAACTGCAGTGAAACGGAAGTTCGTTTGTCTAGGGTCTAGTTATTGTGACTTGAAATCTAGCATAAGATGATAGGCACACATAACTCCCGCTAAAAAAAGAGAAAAAAAAAAGAAGAAATAAACTCGGGGAAATAAATAAAAGAATTTTGGCTAATCAAAAGAACAAAGCCGAAACCAAGCTGCCCGCCAAGTAGTTTGGAGCCTCTCAAAATTGTAGATAAAGAGACAACCGACGGACAGGAGTAGAGGAGGCAACCAACAACCGGTACGAACATGTTGCGTGAAGAACTAAGCGGTCATCTGCTTAAAACATTGGAGGGTCGGTGAAACACAGCAAATGGCGCTGCAATATGTTTCCAAACTAACCACACCCCCAACAGCTGCCAACAAGATGACGACTACCATCAAAGTCTGACACGTAAACTAACAACTACCCAGCCGAACGAACTTTCGGCAGCTTTTTATAACGGACTCGATCCAATCGATTTTAATTAAATAAACATATATTATTTGTTTATATCTTTGACTAGCAGTAGAGCCTGGCGTTGCCCGGGGATGTAACAGTAAGAGATAGATCAAGTATCGACCATCATAAAGACTGAAAAATAAAATTGACTAAGATTATTGTTTAAGGTTGATGGACACGCATAACTTAATTATTTATTTTTTTTTTTTTTTTACGAATTGGTCAAACCCAAACTCAAACAAAAACATTGTTTTCAATTGTTATGAGTCTACAGATTGAATAGAATTTTATTATAAACAATTGTCTTGTAAATGGAATTCTTAAAGCATTCTGAATGTAAAAATAAAGAAAAAATGTGCAAGACAATAAGAAACACTACTACTAAAAATATAGGAAATTCGATCCCATATATAAACGAACACACACACACACACACACACACACACACACACACACACACACACACACAAACAACCTGGGTTTTATAATAAGTATAACTCGATATGTGTTGTCCCACTTTCATTCTCATGATGCTTCTTAATCGTGTTTTCAAATTGATTTTATGCAAAAACAATTGTGTTTTTTTCAATTTTGGGCGCTGTTAGAACCACCGCAAGGTAATTTTACGTAGTCCTGTGAAGTTGTGTTGAAATCGGTTGAAAAATGTAGGAAATCCGATCCAATATATAAATGTACAGACACACACACACACACACACACACACACACACACACAATCTGCGTTTTATAATAAGTAAGATTCTGTTCATTTATTTCGAAGTGGTCCGAATTTTCAAATAAATATTACTAAGACACTGGCGTTTTTCCACAACATCATAATCAACAGGAAAAGCGAAGTCTGTAGTAGGACTGAACATGTGGTGCTCAGTGAGTAACAGTCGCCAATGTATACTATTTACATTATTCGGACTATTGTCCTCATCTTTGTCGCCATATTAACTACAGCGTTTGCGCCGTTGTACGCTCCGGCCCTCTTCAGATGGTTGGAATGTCGAACTGAACCCTTTATTTCTCTCACTGGGATAGACTGTTCTAGTTCGACTTGCCATATCTAATGGATGTCAGTTATCAGTTTCTCCTGTTAATTTCCCTCTCCAAGTTCTCCACCGCCTTAACTCAAGGACAGATGGCACAGTGGTTAAAGGCGTTAGTTAGATCCAGTGACAGGACCCAAAGAGCGTGAGTTCAATATCTGGTTAACAGGAACAGTCTACCCCAGTGAGCGAAATAATGGGTTCAGTTCGACATTCGAGATCCCCAATGTTATCACCTGCGGCGGCAGGAATATTTACGTCGTCGTGGAGGGTCGTCGTCCAAGCTGTTGGATTTGTGGTGCGGTCGGACACCTGGCAAAGTCCGCCACAGCCTCAACCAGCCACGGAGCAGCCCATGACGGAAAAACCAAAGAGAGCTCCAAGTCGTACTAGCGAGTGGACAGATGGTGAGGATGGAGGGGGCAAAGCAGCAATTTCACCTCCCCAGCAGGATGTCCGAGACAAGGGTGCTGCCAAACAGCAAGAGAAGCCGGATGTCCCCAGCAAAAGAGATGCTAAGCAAAATGGGAAGCAACAGCAGCAGACACAGCAGCAGCAGACACAGCAGCAGCAGACAGCAGCAGACGCAGCAGCGACAGAAACTGCGGGAGCAGCAACGCGAGCAACAGCGGCAGCAGGCAGTGCAGCAGCAACAGCAGGTGGGAAAAGAGGTACAACCTGAACAAGTTGTGGAGGAGTTACCTCAACTGGACCTCTATATGGAGGTGGAGGAAATGCTTCCACGTTTCCATCCTCAACCAATCCCAAGGAAAAAAGAAGAGGCAACCGCCCAAAGGGACAAGATCTGTGCTGTGGACCGTGAATTCCTTGAGAGGGACCTTTCGTTCTTGAGGCCTTTTTTTAAGTACACCTCTGTTGACGGGAAGTCAATAGAAGATCCAAGAAACTTTCCTGACACCCCCCAGCATTATTACACTGATCAGGAACACCGGGTGAAACCTCAAAGTATGGGACTATTTAGCAGAAGCCAAAAATGCATTTCCAAAGCTCCGGATGGTACATATAGAGTCACCGAAGCTTAAAAAGCTATCACAATATTGCGCAGGGAGAGCACCAGTTCTCCTTCCCTCTCTATATAGGGCAATAAAATTAGCTTTTCCCACAGACGTCGGGGGCATTGTCACAGGGACGAATTACGTCCGATGTAGGTACTGATAGTTTGAGACAATCCGTCGGGATCTTGACACTCACAGATTTTCGTCCAGTCTATGTCTAAGGGACTTCAACTTAAAAGATGTCTATTAAATTAGCGATCTTGAATGTGAACAGCTTGAGAGATCGGAGTAAGGCAGCCCGCCTGCTTCGTGATTTCTTGTTGTTTGGTATAGATGTTGACGCGATCCAGGTGACACACTTTGTTTGCGACGTCGATGCCAGTGTGCTGTCTAACGACTTTGTCATCTATTCAGCATACGGGGACCGGCTGGCCAGAGTTGTTTCCTTGTTACTCAAGCGTTCCCTGGGGGCGAGGGTGGACCTTGTCCATGTGGAGGCGGAGGATCGGTTCGTCGTGGCCGATATTGCCGTTAACAGTGGTTCTTTTCGGGTCGTTGCGGTTTATGCGCCCAACGATCATGGGGAGCGTGTCGACTTCTTCGGTCAGTTGGGGTCGTTCCTGGTGGATTCTTCGCGCTTACTCTTAATGGGGGACTGGAATGCCACCCAAGACCTCAAGATAGACAAGTGGGCGAGTTTCGCAGCTATTTGGCTGACTTTCCTCGGCTTTCGCCGACTGAAGCGGCTAGCTGCGTGGGTGAGATCACAGAAGGTTCGCATTGAAGAAGGTCGGCAGAGGCAAGTCAGCGGGACGTGGTGGTCTGTCCTACGAAATGTACTTGAGGTTGTTGCACACCTTTGTCCCGATTTTGACAGTGGTGTTCAATAACTGGTTCCGGGAGGGGTCCATCGCCGATCGGGGTGCGATCACGCTGTTGAAAAAGGGCAAGTGTGTTGGCAAGTGTGTTTTAGATGATTGTAGGCCCATAACTCTGCTAAACACAGAGTTAAAGATTTGGCAACGATCCTGAAGGAGCGTTTGCAGTCAGTTTTCACGAGCTTGTTGGGACCCGAGTAGACTTATGCTGTGAGGGGACGAACAATTCAAACCAACCTGCATCTGATCCGCACGATCATAGAGGGAGTAAAAGAAGACGAGTAAGCTGCGTTGATCAATTTGGATCAGTCTAAGATATTTGACAGGGTAGACCATCAGTACCCGGCTGCTGTCCTGCAGGTCGCCGGATTGGAACCCGACTTCTGCAAGTGGATTAGCCTCCTGTATCGCTCCCCCAGTGCGATGGTACAGGTGAACGGGAAGCGGTCGAGCGCTTTTGCGCTGTTACGGTCAGTCCGACAGGGTTGCTCGCTGTCGCCCCTGCTTTGGCGTTGGAAACCCTCCTTCACCGGCTGAGGGACAGGGCGTGCATTTTCGAGTGTAATTGCCAGTTTTACTTTGTCAGATCTGTCAGTCTTGCTACTAAGACAGGAGTAAATAGTTTTGTCATCTGCATAGATACCCCTTAGTTGGGAACTGATGACATCGGGAATATAAGAAACATAAGGTTCAAGGATATAGTCATTAGTGACCCCCGTATTAATGTGAAACACGATCTTCATTACACAATTTGTTAGGAACGATTGTATTAATCCAAATATTCATTCAGAGACATTGCAGTTCTTAAGTTTATTGAGAAGGCCAGCTTGTTAAACTCTGTCGAACGCTTTCGAGATATCTAGACCACATCTGTTCTTACCTAAAGCTTGATAGACAAATTCAGTGATAGCCACTAACACATCGGCGGTAGACTTGAGAAACGGAAGCCATATTGTTTACTTAAAAGGAGGCCCTGTGAATGGAAATACTTAACCAATTCGGTGTTGATTAGAGCCTCTAGTACTTTGCCTAAAAGAGGTAAGATAATAAATCGACAGATCAGAAGGTTGCCCAGAATTCTTAAAGACATGAACTATAGAGTAGGACTTCCAACAAGCTGGAAAGCAAGAAGCGGCGGGACATTTATTGTAAAGTTTGAAGAGAACAAGAGCTGATAAAAATTTTAAAGTTTTCGGCTATCTTGTAAGGTAGTAACACTCATACCGTTGAGCCAGGCTGCAACAAATAATGAAAAAGTCCAGTTCAAGCATGTGTTATATCACGAAGCTTATTTTGGTTGGTTGACTCGTTTTCTACGGTTTATCAACCCTTTGCAAGTTATTTAAAGCCAGGAAATATGTTTCAGATTGTAAGAATTTTTTTAAGATAATAATGGCTTAGTGATACAAGTTTTACAACTTCACCTCTATGCCCCCATAGCTGGGGCGTAGAGGTGAATTCATACCTTTTCTGAGGGTATTTGCGCTTAAGTGAATATAACGAACCCAATGGGAATTGGAACTCGACTCTCCGATTAACAATTCCAAGCCATTATCCATTACGCGTCCTGCACATCTAAGCTTACAGCGCCTGATATTCCCAAGCGGTCACCCATCTAGTTACTGACCAGGATCGACGTTACTTTGATGATCGCACAGGAACCGATATTTCAATGTGATGCAACCGTAAGCCGCATATCAGAAAGAAATGCAAGTATTCCTTTTATTTGATTCGTTTGAGAAGAGATCTGATGATGACCCGGCTGGATGGTCATTTAAGAGAATTGCTATGCTGCGATATTAGCAACAGTAGTCGAATTAATATTCCAATACCAGTACACAAAGTTCTAGATGCCCATCTAGTAGAAACACGACTGCCAAAGATCAACGCATTCTGAGGGCAACAGTTGCACACAGCACGGTGCCCACAGAACAAATACGGTAATATGAATTTCAAGACAGATCTTTGGGTTTAACCAGGATTACGGATGCGTATGCGGCAGCAAACCGCCTGCATACAGATAGAAAATGAGTTCATCAAATATTAAAAAAAATAGGAAGGGGTATAAGACAAGGATGTGTCCTTTCACCGGACTTATTGAATCTATAAAGCGAGGCGATTCTAAGATCCTACCACGATTCAATATTGGCGGCCACAATCTTAACAACATACGATAAGATGACATAGTGTTGATAGCAGACGCAGAAAGGAAGCTACAAAAACTCCCACGTGAGGTAGTGAAGGAAAGCGAGAAGAAAGGATTAAAGATCAACTGCAAGGAGACAGAATGCATGGTTGTTAGCAAAAGGGGTGAGCCCTAAGTGCGAATTGCAAAACGGAGATACGAAAATGAAACAAACGCGGAAATTTAAATATCTGTGAAGTGTTTTAACAGAGGACGGAAAGAGCGACATTGAAATCTGAAGGTACATTGGGATAGCCAAGGAAACATTTCAAAAGCTAAGCAGAGTATTAAGAAATAGGAAAATTTCATTAGAAACAAAGAAAAGGAGTATTAAACTGCTATGGTGATATCTGTCCTCCTGTATAGAAGTGAGTGCTAGCGATCTTCTAAATGATGAAGAGGAAACTTAAAGCAACAGAAATGTGGTTCTACAGAAGGATGCTGAGGATACCGAGGGCAAAACGAAGAAGTTTTGGAGAAAATGGAAACAAAAAGGTAACTTATGCTTAACATCAGGAAATTGGCAGTTGAAATTTCTGGTGCACGTAATGAGGAAGGAAGACTTGGAAAATCTGATACTCACTGGACAGATAAAGGGCCAGAGGCACAGAGGAAAACAACGCAATAACATACTTAATGAGTTTAAGTAAATGAATGACGGAACAGGGCCTAGATGAAATAACAGGAAGACAAAGTTTATTAAGAGCTATAAAGGTCAGGAAATTGTGGAGAGCCATGATCGTCCATGTCCTGTGGAGACACAGCACATAAAGAAGAAGAATGTGTCGAGCTAGACCTCAATTTACGCCACAACACCGTCATGCATTTCTCCAGTGATTCAGTAAGTGGAACGAATGGTGTTCTGTAATTTTCAGTAAGAAAGGCCTTCATGCAAGTGATGTTAATTGCGTGTGCGACGTAGACCTTCCAGATTGTATTCGCCCGGGGTGCACATGGCCAACGGCTTATATCATGATGTGACGTGCCATAAGTTACAAGTCTCGCTCATGTTTGGTATTTGTAGAGGGAAGCTTGAACCTCACCGTATTCGCTAGAACATTTTTGTACCGGTTCTGTTGTCATTCCTGCCACAGGGAGGGGATGTATTTTATCAGTAGGATAATGCCCATCTACTGGGTTCCTCTGCTACTCAGTTTTATCTGTAATGTATTCAACAATTTTTCTGGATGGCACGTGGTACAAAAACCAGACTTGTCCCCCATTGAATAAATATTGGAACATGATGGGATGACGCCTAACATTCAGTTAACTCACAACTTTTCTGTATTGCCTCGACTTGTGTAAGAGTTGTAGAGTAATGTATTGCGTGATGGTATTCGCTATCTATACGATCATATGCTTACTTGAGTACAATCCTGGATGAAGGCATTAAGTCTTGCTATGTGGCTTGTGAAATATGAAGGCTAACGTAGTTCTACAAAATGTTCCAGATCACAAAAGGTCTGCCATGTGGTGGTTTTGGGCCAAAAAGTGTAACAGGCTGTAATCTATTATTTCCTTACAGTAACATTAAATTTTCTGTTAGAACGACAACCATAATATCTTATCATTGTGCCATGCGTAATACACGCTTAGGCGATCA